GGATGACTACCTCCCGCATCTGTGTCCGTAGACTCATGCGGGTTGATGGAGATGCCCTGAGGCCAAATCCAACGCACGACCCCAAATGGTCCGCCCGTGTCCGTTTGGGGGTAAATGGACAAAGCAGGCCTTCCAACGCGCGGCCGCAAATGGACCGCCGTTCGTTTTCTATCCGCTTTCGACCCATTCCCAACCCAACTTTGGATCGAGTTTGCAGCCGAACGGACACGCGCAGATGCGATCGGCGCGTGCCCTTGTCCTGCCTTGGCCCGCCCATCGGGGAGACATACCCCCTTTTCTCTTCCTCTTCCTCCCTTCGCCCCCCTCCCGACATTGCCACCGCCACCACCCTCCCCGGCCGCATCGTCTTCCACAAGGGTCGTCCCAACCAGCACCACGCCATGCCATAACTTTCTCCGCACCGGCGTTCTGGAAAGCATTTGGCCGGCGTTCTCCTTAGTGCCGGTGGGAGAGATACTACGCTGCCGGCATCGCCCGTCGTCCCGAACCTCCTTAGGCCGGCCGTTCGTTGCCGCGGGGCGCCCTCCAGCACCATTGACACCCAAAACCTTGCTTTCCTGCCTGCTAGGAAGCAGGACATGCACTATCTAGCCGCGCCTCCAGCACGACCGCAAGGCGTTCGCTGGATTGCTCACAAGATACAATGGTTAATAGTGATGAGTTTTTCTTTCACAACTTCATTTGCTCATCGGATGATGAAGAGCCGGTGGCTGCGTTGGCTGTACATGAACACATTAGTAGGAAGCGCACTCGGTACAGGGGATCAATCCCCGGCCATGTTTGGCCTTGAACCGCAATAGGGAGAAAGGTCACACCCTTCTCTATGCCGATTACTTTATGGATGGTGCACTCTTCAGGCCACATCAATTTCGTTGCCGATTCCGAATGAGAAGGCATGTGTTCAATCGTATTCGCGAGGGAGTGGTCGCGCATGCCCCATACTTTGAGTGTAAAGAGGATGCCCTATGGAAGCTTGGTTTCTCTTCGTACCAGAAATGCACGACCCCTATCCGCATGCTTGCATATGGAATTCCTGGTGATCTTGTGGATGAGTATGTTTGTATAGCTTTTGCACGGCCGTGGTGGAAGTGTTCGGCCCTGAGTACCTCAGAGAGCCAAATGCCGCTGATACAGAGAGGTTGTTGGCGATTAATGCCGAGAGGGGCTTTTCGGGCATGCTTGATACTATAGATTGTATGCACTGGAAGTGGAAGAATTGTCCATTTGCTTGGTAGGGGCAGTACAAGGGGCATGTGAAAGGTGCCACTGTTATACTTGAAGCTGTGGCTTCACAAGATCTCTGGATATGGCATTCTTTCTTCGGCATGGCTGGTTCTCAGAATGATATTAGTGTTCTTTAGCGGTCTCCGGTGTTTGCAAGGCTTGCAAAAGGCCAATCCCCGGAGGTCAACTTTAAGGTCAATGGCCACCATTACAAAGGGATATTACCTAGCTGATGGTATCTATCTTCAGTGGTCCACTCTTGTGAAGACCATATCCAATCCGCAAGGAAAGAAGAGACAAAGGTTTGTCTAAATGCAGGAGAGTGCTAGGAAGGATGTGGAGCGTGCTTTCGGTGTGCTTCAGTCTCGGTGGGGTATCGTTCGTAACCCTGCGTTGACATGGAGCGCGAAGAAGCTTTGGGGGGTGATGACTGATCGTGCGATCATGCACAACATGATTGTGGAGGATGAGCGCGATGATAGCATCTACGACCAAGGGTTTGATTTCCAGGGTGAAAATGTTGAGCCTGAGCATGTGCAACCTTTGAACAGTTTGTCGAGCTTCATCGGGAATTGCGTCATTGGCATACTCATGTCCAGCTCCAGGATGACTTGGTTGAGCACATGTAGACTCACATTGGCAACAATAGATCTATCATTTTAATTTATTTTCATGCAAAACAAATTTCAATTGGATTGTAAGACTATTTGATATTGTTTTTCCTTTTAATTGGGTTGTAAAAGACTACGTATAACAATTTGCTATATTTGATTTGAACCATATTATATGCATACTGTGCTCGTTGAACGGACAAGATGCAATCGAAATGCGACCGCGAGTTGGTCACACGGCCGCCGCATCTAGAAAACCGGACGAACATGGTGACCCAAACGGACCAAAAACAAACGTCCGTTTGGGCCGTGCCTTGGAGTTGGCCTGAGCGCGTTGAAAGGTTCGTAGGCGGAAATAGCTGAAGCAAAAACCGGCCCCGCCGCCTCCCTGTGTAGAGACCTGTGCCGCCGACGCCAAAGCGGCAAGCCGGCAAACCTGCTTCTCATCCCTCCAACCCCCCAATGCCGCCGGCGAACCTCACCCCGACTAAATGGCCCAAGAACCTCACCGCCGAACACCTCCACCGCCTTGTCCGCGCCGAGCGTGATCCCCGCCGCGCGCTCGCCCTCTTCGACGCGGCCACCGCCGCGCCCGTCTCCACTTCCGCGCCCACACAAATCCTCCCCTCCCCGGACACCGTCTCCCTCCTCACCTCCCGCCTCGCCTCCGCCGGCCTCCTCCCCCTCGCCACCTCCCTCCTCTCCCGCTCGCGCGCGCTCTTCCCCT